AGGAAGCAAACACCTTATATTCATTCCGTGTATTAATGCCAAAACAATGGGCGTGACGTCATTAGGGCGTCACACACGTCCCGCTTGTCATCTAGGCTCTCCTCGCGATGTGTCAATTAAAAAAGTGGATGTTGACCTCCAAAGAGTGTGTTTTTTCTTGACTTTGGGGATGCGAGGGGTCTGGGACTACTTTTCGTAGTTTGCGCATGCGCAGTAGGTCTACGCGGAAATAGGCTCATAGGAACGCGGGGGACCTGGGGAGTCGTTTGACGGTCTGCGCATGTGCCTACGATCCCATTCACGTGACTGCGCAGGGCAAACGTTTGGGCCCTAACTGCGCATGCGTCCAACTACCAGGCTCTTCTCTCCATAAAACTATGTAAACAATGCAGATTCAACTCTTGTGTGCGTGTGTTCTTTATTCCTATGGGTCACGTGGGCTAAAACCTTGATTTGTGACGTCAATCAGTCACATGGGCGAAATGCGCGATTCTGATTGGTCGAGACCAAATTTGCTGCGCTCTGATTGGTTACCGATTATAGGGGCCACTATGACTACTTCCCCGTAACGGCAAGGATACGTAAAGCGCTTGAGATAGATACATAAAGCAGGAATCGATCCAACTACTAGGCCGTTATAAGTAACAATCTCATCTGGTAACTGAAGATATTCAGCAAGCTTGAAAATGTCGTTTTTGTAAAATCGGAATTCAGCTTTGCACTGGTCATTTCCAAGCTCGTCTAAATCGAATCGATCATACTTCCAATATGGAAAGTCGGGTTTTTTGAAGTATTGGCATCATACAGCAAAAGAAACTGCCTGTCGTTGATAAATCCTTTTCTATGGGCATATGCAATACACTCTCTGTTTTCCCTGAAGTTCGGCATTTTAATCAACACGTTGATAAAACTATTATTCTAAATAAAAAATGTCAGTCTGCGACTTAAATTTGGCTGGAAATCTCCGCGTCGACGTCCGCAACTCGTAAGTTAAATTTGGCGCGCAATGGCAAACGGCGACGACAAAGTCGATGACGTCACCTAAAGTCGTCGTCGAGAAAGAAGTCATCGATTCGTAGACTCCCTAGTAAAGAACATGACCGTCGCTTCGCATTAACACCATTAGTCGTTGCCGCAACCTGAGTTTCAAATTTAAATCTGCAGTCATGCGTGCGTAATGAGCAGTAATTTTTGCTACAGCTTCTGAGTATTCGGCCACATTTAAAAATCTTTGAATAAATAGAATTGCTTTGGAGACATTTATATCTAATTCATGAAAACTAAGGCTGCAGATCAGGGGGAGCAGAGGTGGTGGCCATCGAATAATTGCAGTATTTTCCCAAAGTAAATATTTTAGAAGCGAGAAGCGAACCGGCAGAAGAAATAATTCAATAATTGAAAAATAATGTCATGCCCCTTTGCCTTTCTCCCACATCGTATGTACTGTGTTCCCTGGCAGTGAAATTGCAAAACGCAAGCGACAGTCACTGCAACCGTGTTAACTCTTGAACCGATAACAACGCGCGCTGGACTATGACGGCTATCGATCGAGTTCATAGGTCAACATCTTTTTGCAGGGCGAGGACATCTATGCAGAAGATTATAGGAGTTATGATAGTGATAAAAAATAAATAACTGGAAAAAGTGTCAGATTTATCGGAAGCAAGTCTATTCTAGAGAGCTTCATAAAAATGATCGTACAGAACTGAATAAACAGATTCACACTTCACAAAAGTGAACACATTTCACTCCGTTTACTACGTTCAGTCAACACCTTGAATTCAAAGTTAGAAGTCAAAACGATCGTATCAGGATCCTAATGAACAAATGACAACTATTGGTAAAAAGCTCTTTACCTTGAAGCGGCCTTAACTTTCCTTAAGTTTTCAGCCATTTTCTAAACGCTGCCGAGGAAAATCGTTTAAATAAAAAGCAAACCACAAACTATGTCTGAAAAGCAACATAAAATCAATAAATTTGCGAGTTACCAAAAATAGATAAATAGTGAGAAACAGTCCCGCCTTCGACCGCCATGTTTTTATTCCTTCCCAAAACCGTTGATCTTTGGTTTTTGGCGTAATGCGCATGATCAGTACACAAATCTGCTGGCAAGACCCTTGATGACCGCTTTGCAAGTTGTAAGAACATCGTTTGGATTTCATTTAAGAGAATGTAAGGGAAGTAGCTTTTCTTCCACCCCATGGGGCAGCTATTTCAGAACTACCTCGCGTGTGAATTCACTGCTCATTACGAATACAGGAATGCAGAGCTGAATCTAAAAACCTAAAACTACGAACAGAGTCAACCTTCAAATAACAAATTCATTAAAGGAATATTAGGAGGTACGCTTCACCTGGCTTGACTTTAACTTAGAGCAAATGCTGATTGTACATAAATGCATTCTTTACAAAATTTTTTTCAATTGTCTTTTATTTATTTATTAATTAATTAATTTATTTATTTATTTATTTATTTATTTATTTATTTATTTATTTATTTATTTATTTATTTATTTATGGGACAACCAAACTCGTCATTTAATCCAGAACGTAGGAAATT